CCCCAAAACCCCAAAACCCCAAAACCCCAAAACCCCTTTAAGATCTTATCTGGTTGAAACTATAGCGGAGTCAAAAAATTGTACTTGTTCGAGGAATCAGCTTGTTGCGTTCAGAACCCATTGGTCAATCTAAAGCATCTACTATTCCTTTGATAAAATTTCTGGTATTTATTTATCGATCGAGACCGTAAAGGTTGTGTTTCATTCATCAGCTTTCCCATAACCTGGGATTTTGTCACTAAAATGATGAGATTTAGCTTACATTTTGCATTCGGAGAGATTCAGGACTGATACTTATTCTCTCTCATTCTAGTGATAGGGTCGAATTTATCCCTGGAATAATTTGATATCGAACCCGACGACTTTTCTATCAGAGATTGCTGTGTCTCAGTATTAACATTAAAGAAGTTCTGATGCTTGTTAGTATGGAATATATTAGGTTGACTGCTTGTATCAAGGTTAAGGATAGAAGTTCTCTTGTACTTGTTCTTTTTTAGCCTCCTATAAATTCAGCTAATATCTCTGCCATGGTGATTTGCTGATAATTCCTTCTGGAGTTTCTTCATAGAAGCAACTCCTTGCTTGGAGATTTCTGGTTTGTTATCCTTCCTAAAAAGTTTAACTATCTTATAAGAAAGCTTACGACTGTGAATTGAGAGAATGCTTTGGTATAAACACTGCCTTGTTCTTATTTATTAACCAGCTTAGAAGACTGAGTAATCATGTTGGATAGCTTTGTCACATTTCAGTTGATAAGAAACTTGTTCTCTTCCTTTGATCCTGATTTTGACAAGCTATTCTTCCCCGGCCTTTCTTGGTATGGTGCTATATCGATGAATTCAATCTCTTGGAACTAGTAAACTTTGCACTATTGTTCTTTGAATAAATTATTTCTCGGTTCCTCAGTCTTTGGAATTTAGACAGTTCTTGCTTGACTTTGTTAATTGCATTCTTTGTTGTTTGGCTGGATTTTATTTTCTGAGAGAGTAGCTTAAAGCTTTCCATAGACATCCTTTTCTTATTTTTGGTCAACTAAAGGTAAAAAATTCCTTACCCATTTCTTTAGAGTGCTCCTTTTTCCAGTCTTGTAAGTGCTTGGAAAGGCAGTATGGATTCTGGGTACTTGGAATGGCTTTTACAGTATCTGCACTCATCCTTCTTGATTTAATGCTCTCCTTTAGATAGGATTGGCCTAGTCTCACCGGTTTTGAGTCTTCTCTCATCATGAAGCTCTGTACAGGAATTTTTATTGGTGTAGAGAGTTTAAAAATGGTTTTGTCCTCTGAATCATTGCCAAAATTTTCAGATAAGTTGTAAAGGCCAGAAACTAGATTCTTGTCACATTGATTTTCCACCTGGATTTGGCCCAAATTCTTCTTATACTCTGTTACTTGAAGGTTTATTTGGGAAAAGTTCTTCTTCATAATATTATTTCAATATTTTTGAAAAATAATGGGGTTTTGGGGTTTTGGGGTTTTGGGGTTTTGGGGTTTTGGGGTTTTGGGG